CATAAAACTGTCCAGGCTGTAAAAGTAAAATCATAACTCAGTCATTTCAAATCAAATTTCAACAAACTCTACATCAATCTGAAGCTAACAAGATATTCTGTATGAAAATAAAATATTATAGTTTTTGAATATCAAAGTTCACCATCGAACAGATGTTAAGATCAATCCAATAATGCATATCCAACATAAAGTTACATCTCAATATCCCAAATTTCATTCATAACCACAAAAATAAAATCAAAAGCAAAGAAAACATATTCACTTCAAGCCAACATCTCAAAAATGAGTTCTCAACGTCGAAAGGTAGCAATAAGCGTAAACATGAAAAGTCTCATAAACGAAATACGCAAATCCACTTCAAAACACATTCTTAATTCAATCATTCGTTTGATCTAACTTATCACCTGAAAAGTAATAGGGGGTGAGCAAAAGCTCCGTACAAATAATGATTTCAAAGATTTAATAAAGTAAATGATTATGCAACTCACAATGCATACTCAAACATGAAATACTTTATACAAAACAGTTTTGAAAAATCTTTAATGAGCAAGTCAAAATTCATTCCTTTCAAAGCTCACAGTTTAAACCAAATTGTGTAATGTACGCAATAGTCCCTTAAGGACTTTGCCCGTTACCACATACAATCGGTCCGGTTATAGTTCCTCATGAACTCTGCCCGTGATCACACACAGTGATCCTGTTATAGTCCCTTATAAAGTATGCCCTCTTTACGGGGTGCTACCCCGAAGGAAAAAGTTACCTCATGCGCATATTTTTTGTCCTTCATCGCGGAGCTAGTCGAGCCCAACTTAATTTCACCACATACACATCCCACCAGGGGCGAGTCCACCCAAGGGCTAGGGTGGACTTAAGCCCCCCCTCACTTCAAATTTTTTTCCTGTTATATATATATATATATATATATATATATATATATATATATATATATATATATATATAGACTAGTGCAGAGCACCGCGCAAGGCGCGGTGCCGGGTGCCTCGGGTGAATACGAGAACTTATCGTATTATGTACTTTCGACATACTTTCATATATTAATTTTGAGGATTTTTTTTTACGATTAGCTAAAATTTGTGTCGAATGTGGTGATGGGAAGAGACGATTTGAAGTTGTCTACGGAGGGTAGTGTGGGGTCCACTCCCTTAGAAACAAGGGAATTTGCTAGTGCACTAATGATTGTCAAAATACAAACTCGTTTCTGTGTTAACAAAGCTAATTAATCAGGAGTTAATTTTCTTCCTTCCGTTAAAGGCTACTTGAATGAAGGCGCGTGCGATGCGAAATAGGTATATACTATAGGGGACCAAAAATCGTAAAAATTGATAGATTTGTTGATATTTAAGATTTATTTTAACATTTGAATCGACATAGATATGAACGAATTGAACCGTAAGATTTGAATCATGAATCATAAGGTTTTATGCTCGGTATTGCGAATTCTCGTAAATTTGGCGGATATTTTGGATATTGAAAGAGAGATCCACTCTGGGGTCAAATTTGCAATTTGGGTAGAGCGGGTAGGAAGATGTAGTAAGTATAAGGGTGATTCTGCAATTTCAAAACTGTTTGAGCTAGAGAGGTGGATTTTTGGAAATTACAAATTGAGCTCCACTTGGGGGCATTTCCGGTTTAAGGAACAAAATAAAAAATGGTACATAATATAGTGACAAAATGTAATTATCACAAGCTTATTATAAATAATATAATAAATTAAAGTTTTCATAAATCGTAAGTTGTAAAATTTGATTGTTTTGTTGATATTTAAGATTTATTTTAACTTTTAAATCTACTTAGGTATGAACGAATTGAATCGTAAGAATTGACCCACTTTGGGGTTAAATTTGCAATTTGGGTAGAGCGGGTGGGAAGATGGAGTAAGTATAGGGGTGATTCTCCAATTTTCAAAATTGTTTCAGTCAGCGAGATGGATTTCTAGAAATTACAAATTGACTGCTACTGGGGTACATTTCTGGTTTAAGGAACAAAATAAAAAAAAAAAAAAAAAAAAAAAAAAAAAGGTATACTTATATAGGGACCAAAAATCGAAAAATTTGATCGATTAATTGATATTTAAGATTTATTTTAACATTTCAATCGACATAGATATGACTGAATTGAATCGTAAATCATAAGATTTTGTGCTCGGTATTGTGAATTTTCGTAAATGTGGCGGATATTTTGAATAGTGAAAGAGAGATCTACTTTGGGGTCAAATTTGCAATTTGGGTGGAGCTAGAAAGATGGAGCAAGTATATGGGTGATTCTGCAATTTTCAGAACTATTTTAGCCAGGGAGGTGGATTTTCGGAAATTACAAATTGACCTTCACTTGGGGGGGCACGGTTTAAGGACCGATATTAAAAATGGTATATAATATAGGGACCAACTCTGTAATTATCATAAGTTTATTAAAACTAATATAATAAATTAAAGTTTTCTTCAATCTTAAATCGTAAAATGTAATGGTTTTGTTGATATTTAAGATTTATTTTTACTTTTGAATCGACTTAGGTATGAATGAATTGAATTGTAAGATTTGAATCTTAAATCATAAGATTTTAAACTCGATATTGCGAATTTTCGTAAATGAGTCACACGCGATTATAGTTGAGGAGGAGTAGAAGCATACTGCGTTGGTGGCGAGTATTTCGGATATTGCAAGAGAGATCCACTTTGCGATTAAATCTGTAATTTGGGTGGAGCGGCTGGGAAGATGGGGTAAGTATAGGGGTGATTCTTCAATTTTCAAAATTGTTTCAGCCAGGGAGGTGGATTTCCAGAAATTACATTTCTGGTTTATGGACCAAAAATAAAAAAGGTATATTATATAGGGACCAAAATTCGTAAAATTTGATCGATTTGTTGATATTTGAGATTTATTTAAAGATTTGAATCGTAAGATTTGAATCGTAAATCATAAGATTTTATGCTCGGAATTGAGAATTTTCATAAATGTGGCGGAAATTTTGGATGTTGAAAGAGAGATCCACTTTGGGGTCAAATTTGTAATTTGGGTGGAGCGGCTAGGAAGATGGAGTAAGTATCTGGGTGATTCTGCAATTTTCAGAGCTATTTAGACAGGGAGATGAATTTTCAGAAATTACTAATTGACCTCCACTTGGGGGCATTTCCGGTTTAAGGACCAAAATAAAAAATTGTGTATAATATAGGGACAAAAACTGTAATTATCGCAAGTTTATTATAAATAATATAATAAATTAAAGTTTTCTTAAATCATAAATTGTAAAATTTGATTGTTTTGTTGTTATTTAAGATTTATTTTAACTTTTGAATCGACTTAGGTATGAACGAATTGAATCGTAAGAATTGAATCACACATCATAAACTCGGTATTGCGAATTTTCGTAAGTGAGTCACACGCGATTATAGATGGGGAGGCATACTGCATTGGCGGCAGATATTTCGAATATTGCAAGAGAGATCCACTTTGGGATTAAATTTGCAATTTGGGTAGAATGGGTGGGAAGATGGAGTAAGTATAGGGGTGATTCTGCAACTTTCAAAACTATTTCAGTCAGCGAGGTGGATTTCCGGAAATTACAAAATAACCCCAACTGGGTGCATTTCTGGTTTAAAGAACAAAATTTAAAAAAAGCATAATAATACAGGGACCAAAAATCGTAAAATTTGATTGATTAATTGATATTTAAGATTTATTTTAACATTTCAATGGACATAGATATGACTGAACTGAATCGTAAGATTTGAATCATAAATCATAAGATTTTGTGCTCCGTATTGCGAATTTTCGTAACTGTGGCGGATATTTTGAATAGTGAAACAGAGATCCACTCTGGGTTCAAATTTTCAATTTGGGTGGATCAGCTAGGAAAATGGAGTAAGTATAGGGGTGATTCTGCAATTTTCAGAATTGTTTTAGCCAGGGAGGTGAATTTTCGAAAATTACAAATTAACCTCCACTTGGGGGCATTTCCGATTTAAGGACCGATATTAAAAATGGTATATAATACAGGGACTAAATCTGTAATTATCACAAGTTTATTAAAAATAATATAATAAATTAAAGTTTTCTTCAATCTTAAATCATAAAATGTAATCGTTTTGTTGATATTTAAAATTTATTTGTACTTTTAAATCAACTTAGGTATGAACGAATTGAATTGTAAGATTTGAATCGTAAATCACAAGATTTTAAACTCGGTATTGTGAATTTTCGTAAATAAGTCACACGCAATTATAGTTCAGGAGGAGTAGAAGCATACTGCGTTGGTGGCGGTTATATTTAATAAAATTGGGGAAATTGGGTTTTACGGGAAATTGCAAAAAATGATGACATTGACTTGAATGAAACGGTTGAGTGCAATATTCACGACTTTAGATGCCAGGGTGGGCAACTATAATGATATTGAGCTTTAATCGTCTCTCTGATTGTAGAAAGAAGCCCCAAAATAAATGAGTCAATACTTGATTAGAGAGAGATAGCTAAAATAAAAAGATAAATGTTCGTTACTTCGCTACACTGAGACCAAACTGTCGCTCTTCCATTGAACAAAAAGTGTGCGAACAAATTACGCATCAGAAACGACGAAGAAAGACAAAAAGAAAAAAGTAGTATATAAACTACACAGACGGACGACGATTTTTACAGGTCAAAATAGCCCAAAAAACTATACTCTACATAGTAATAAAATTATTGCATAAAATCAAAGAAACAAACCAAACATTTATCCAGATGTGGAACATGTTCTCTGCAAGGGTTCCTCCAGGCTCGGGTTCTCCAATAATAATTTGTAATTATATTTGTTATCAGTAAACAGGAGAAATTAAAAAATCAAGGAGGTCGAGAAACTATGCGATTGCCGAAAATGCTAGGTTGATAAAGAAACATCAACTTAATTTGTACTAAAAAGTGCCTCCGCATAGGAACTCGGTCTTGGTGAGAACCTGGTGGCGATTGCTGAAGATAAACATAAGTTGACTACCGAATAGAGAGTCATATTTATCAAGGAAGAAAGCAAGTCGATCATACATAATTTTTTGACCAACTGAGAAACCATTATCAACATTCCGACTTTTTTTGAACACAATCACAGTCAAGATTTTGGAACACAACATCCCTATTTTCGGAACAGAGAAAAGCATGGACTCGATGAAAATGAATTGATTACATCAACGAGTAATAGAAACAAGAACTCATGAACTGAATTAAAATCTGACCTTTATAATACTGGTTTTCGGTCACAACCAATCTCCGTCAACTTTCTCATCGAACAACTCACACAATTTCTACAAACATCAAAACAGTAAGATCATATTAACTTAGAAAAATGAAAGTCAGATCTGAAAACTAAAATCAACCATAGTAAACCGTAAGAAAAAACTACAGATATTAGAGTCAAAGTTCAAAAAAAATTATAAAAAAAAGTCTGACATCATACCACATCATCTAAAGCGCACAACTACTCGTCGAAGTGGCGCTATCAACAAACGTGGCCGAACTCATCCATCTAACAAATCCGCAATGCCCTGAACACACATTCCACCAAATCTTTAGGAAAAAATAGTTCAGATACAACATCAGTAAAGAACATTTAACAGTAGCGAATAAAATTAGCTATATATCTATAAGAAAAAGAGTTCAGATACAACAGCACGGTAAGTACATTAAACAAGAAGCAGACATGCTTTATCATCAATTAGTCGAACAATAACATTGATAATAGAATCGCGCCATCTGCTCTCATCCGCTGCAACAAGAATTACTTCAATGTTGATAGAAACCAAATTTTGATCTAAAAATGTATGAAGGGGATCATGAAAATGCGCGGGCACGCCACTGCCGCTGGTGGGTTTCTTGATATATACAATCCTAGAGCGACGAAAATAAGTATTCAAGACAAAAATGTCGACACCCGTCCAGTACTTGACATGCCTGGCTCATGAAAATGCCCGAGGGAAAAAACCTGTAAACACAAAGAATGCAATCAGAGAATAAAAGATCATACCGAATTAAAAATCGAGAGAAAATCTAGACGAAAATGAAAATAAAAGCACATACCTATCACAATATGAACACCCAAGTACACGGAAAAATAAATTTAAAATAGGAACAAACATAACAAAATGCAAGAGAGAGAAAGAGAACATACTGATAATTCATGAAAAAAAAAAAGAGAATAACTAACAACAATTTTTTATATCACTGTAGAGCGAGAGTATAGATAAATATAATATTTGTTTCGAGCAAAATATGGCAACACCTGCAAACGTAAGATCTCCACAAACTTGAACGCCTGCTGAAATAAATAACGGAAAAATACGAAAGAGCACTTTTGTTCAGATTGACAGAACTTAAAAAAACAATATTTTTGCATGAACACAAAAATTAAGCGTCCCTCTCTCCTAAACCGCAACAAATTATAACTAAGCTGGAAATCACATTCAGAAAGCCCAAATGAATCACAAGAAAACCCCAAAAAAACACATAATACAATGACCATATTCACGTTCGCCGTTCCTAAAAAAAGATAGAAAGAAAATAAAATGGAGGCGGCAAATTATGGACTCCCACGTCACCCTCCGTGTCACGATTGAGTCAGAAAGAAAAGAGCACGTCCTCAACAATACCCTGATCTACCATATTGTGCATTCCATTTTTACAATAAAATCAGTTTGTTTTCAGAAATTAATGTATTAGTCATTTTAAGGAAAAGAATAAATCGCTGACATTAAACAAATCGAATAGAGGTATAATCTACCATATCCGCCATATGAAGCACAAACAAGGGCTCCATTGTCCAGCAATATATGAGCACATCGAGGACGACTTTGACGCGGTGTCAAGTGTAAAGGGGTCGGTCCTTTGTATCTCTAATGTTCACAAATAGGAAAAGCCCCTAAATATCCATATACATAATCATGATTATCGTGATCAAAGATAAATACACCAAATAAGAAACAAAACATACATATTAATATTAGCGAGATACGTGAAACGCCATAGCTCATCTGGAATTGGACACCCTGAAGTAAACATAAATATCTGTTAAAAAAATATAAGATTAGTGAATGATCTGTCAACATCACAACCATAACTACACCCAAGTGAATAAATTATTCAAGTGAAGTCCTGAATACCTGTACTTACAGGTCACTTATTATATAGCAAAGAGAAAAACAAAGGCAAAGAATTACTCAAGATCAGACGTTGCGGCCGGAAGCAGCAGAAGTCTCACTTGAAACAGTTCAAATTTTGGGGAATTTGTACATATAAATATACAATTGTTTTATGCACCACAAAATGAAATCAGCCCAAATATATTTACATAAGATGGAAAGTAATACCCAATTTGTAACTCTGTAAACTGAAATACGCACCGGATATCTTCGCCGTTCGGCGGTCGCCATCGACTGCAAAATGAGTCCTGAAGCCTCCATCTTTTTGTACTGAAATTTTTACAGCAGCACCGACTGTTCCACCAAATTAGAAACGAAAAATTACAGCAAAGAAATAGAGGAATGAAATTGGGGAGCTAAGAAATGTCAAGATTGCAGGAAATTTTAGAGACCTAACAATTTTAGAGAATTAATACAATATATAGCAAAGGAAATATTGCACGGCTTGATAACCTGGTTGGCCGCGGCGCAATCTAATGTCTCATGTCCAATATTTGCAGCATTTTTGTGCATTTTCAACTAATAAACCTATGAAAGAGCTTTTAACTATTCTGAATTGTAACACCGAACAAAAAGCTGTTATGGAGCGAAGATATAGGTATATTACAAACGGAAATACGATTTATGTGAATGCTATCAGCAATCTTCATGCCACCAAATATAAATCAATAAAGTCTATTGGAAAAAAAACGAACGTTTATTATTTATTTATTTATTCATTTATAACCAGTTCCTATACCTATATCGAAAGCTGGAAAAAATGTTCAAGATCAACAAACATTGCTTCTGAACCTGGAAATACTGAACTAACCGGTAAGTTTAACAAAATTTTATGTACACATATATACACATGTATTAGGGGGGTTATAATTACCTGGGATGCAGAGAAGGATACCGCCCAAGGGCATCCAACCACAACATTTGGGTTTTTTTGAGGAATTTGTACACGTAATAAGGAGAAAGAGCTTGCTATACATGTGTTCCAATGGAAAATATTGTATATACCAATGGCACTGATGCAGAAAAGCCATGTTATTATGACGGGTGCGAACAAGAAGCCGACCCTGTGGGTCCCATAACGTTGAAGGGCAAATAGTCCTATCGGTACCATACATGCAACCGGCAATTCCATGTCTGCACCAGTTAGATCGCATTGATTTATGAACAATAAGAATTTAATGAATGTCTCTCCAAGCCTCAAGCGTACCCGTAAGTAACATAAGTTGTGAGGCATGTTCATGCTGGCTTTGTTTACTTTCAGAACGGCACTGGTAAAGATCTAAAAAAACGTCAAACGTAACAATCAAACAGAATACAAGATCTAAATCAGGAAGCTAAACCAGATACATAAATCCAGATCGAGTTATTTCAAAGTTTTCCTGAATCTTTTATGCAGAACTAAATCATGTTCAAGAAAATCCGACAAAGTATATACACGAGATACATACACAAACCCGAAAAAAAAATGTCAAGCATTAAAAGATAATACAGTACCTGACGCAATCGCAAAAGCTACAGGATTTTCTGGTAGTGGGATGCATAGCATTGATACTTAAAAGTTATACATCGAATCAATAAATCGACAAAATAAATTGTACATATGAGAACATACTTATTTATCGATAAAATGAACAATAGCTTAGCCTGTGGTCTAACATAAAAGCCACCCTCTAATCTCACTTCGCGCTTCAACTAAATCAACTCCTTATCCTAAACATACCAAATCAATAAATATTAAAGACTGTTGGTATATTTTACAAACAATTTTCCTTCAGTAATTGGGAATTGTCGAATCCCTATATATAAAATGAATTTATACATATTCATACAATTCCCATACACAATTCCTTAATAACACAATATAGTCTTTAATTAATTGCAAGCAATCCCCATACCGATAAACTAACACATTTTTCATTATTAATTAAATGAAATAAATATTAACTAACACAATTCCCGATACTAATACACTAATGGAGGATTTATTATAAAAATCCATTTGGAAGTTGTCAGGATGAAATAAATTTCCGAGCAAAATTTTGAGATGCAAATGAAAGAAAGGTATATATGAAAGCCAGTCCTTACAACTATTCAGAAGTAGTGCACCTGCGCTTCTAATTGATTCAAGAAGATTTCCATCTGCCTATCAAAATTTGGCAGCAAATTAAGAGCAAATCTGCAATTTTATCAAAGATGATGCAAGAGAGTTTTCAAATAAAGTGAGTTTTCAGTGAAATATGAATATTAAAGAAAAATAGAAAATGAAAGTACAAAAACCATGCGTACCTTTTACTGAATGAAGCCCAGAAGAACCTCAAGCTGGAAGACACGTCTATTACGGTGTACAAGAAATTGGTTCAAAAATAGTCAAAAAAATGTATAATAGTAACTTCGAATAGGAAAAAAAATTAGGTACGAAGGGTCGCACATAAAACACTGAAGTCCAATTACAATAACAAGAACTACGTAACAGGAAATATGAGCTGGTTAGTTATGTTTTCTATGGGAAGCACCAGTGAAAACAAATTGAAGAATTAAGGTAATGAGATAAATATTTAGAGAGAGTCTATTGAATTCCTCCTCCCAAACGCAAACTCAGACCCGAGAACTTGCACCCACAGAGAAGAAACAAAACTGGAAGCAAAATTGAGAAATATTCAACGGTGATTCAGCAATTGTAGGCGACGAGTGAGGACGAAGAAGCAAGAGAACAAAAAAATCGAGAACAAAAGAAAAGAGAAAAGAAGAAGCAAACAGGTCGATCATACACATCGTGAAAATAAGGGCAAAGAAAAGAAAGGACAGAGGCGTATAATAACACGGACAAACTGTAAGAAGAAGATAAAAAAAAATGAACCAATAGTATTCATCAATAAAGAATCAAAACATATAAATAAGATCGAGATATATGATGGAGGAAATAAGATCTCATGCTAGAAGGTGTTTAGGAAAATTTTAAACTCAATAATTGCATGGTAGGCGGTGTTTAGGCAAATTTCACAAGTATTATAAGATACTAACATATGCATTATGCACATAGTAAGAAACCATAAAAGGATTAGAAGAGCTCAACAATTTTAACCAGTTTTTTGTACTGTAATATGGATTGATTTACAAATGAAATTACGTACCATTCTTTTACCGTATGCATAGACAAAAACTAATACTTCTCCTCTTTGTCCAACAAGAAGGTCAATAAACTTTGCAGCAATTTGAAATCAATGAGGTGGTTTTGCAGCATGTTTTATGCATACAAAGCCAAAATACCAGGCTAAAGGCAATTTTGATCGTGTTATTTAGCAAGGCTTCAATTAAGAACTGAACCTCAGATTCAGTCTAAGTATGAAAATAACAGCTGATTAGATCAAATCCTATATTTGAAGCCCATGTTGTGACTCATATCATCACACCTTTAAAATAAACTATCGAGTCAAAATTAAATAAATACTTGTAAAAATCACGAATATAAAGATATAAACATAAATAATTTAAAGTCCAACTATAACCGAAGCAAACTAACTCCCACACAAATAAAACAAGCATGCAAGAAGTAGAAAAAAGGGTCATCACTATATGAAAAGTTGAAGAGAAACAAAGCAGGCTACATTATATACCATTCGATAGCATCTAACTTTGAGCCATTTCTAAATTGTGGACAATTAATTGTAACATCAATCGAACTCCCATAGTTAATTGGTAATGCACAAATAGCAATAAACACGCAATGATTATTATTTTCAACGAATTGACTCTCACGAATTGAAACTAAAAGCCATATGCATCCCCGCGAAGTTTTGGCATCGGCAAGCGGGCCTGCCCTTGAAGTTCATTTTTCCCATCAGAGCCATAGACACGTAAAATGACATAATTTACTTTTACTGTTCCTAACATCGAAAAAAATACGAGAAGCACAAAAATTACCTTCAAACAGTTCTTGGGCCGAGGCAGTTTCGAGGACACACACTGCAGCCATCACACACGAGCAGATCTGAAAGCTAAGTGTTTCCAGTGAAATTGAAACACCAACTGAAAATCGACAAGGAAAATTAAAAATCGGTAGCAGAATCCATGTGCATACATCAAAAAAAAAAATATAAAACATAAATAATACACCAAAAATAACAGTCTACCATTATCAACGAAGATAAAAAAATAGCGAGCAAACAAACGACGGAGTTGTTTTCCCCCTAGGGAAAGGTAGACATTAAGATGAGACGTTTGCACGAAAGGAAAAGTAACACGAGAACTTGGAAATTTATAACTTGCCTAAACTCTACAACATGTTGTTCGCCACATAATTTGAATATTAATATTCAAAGACCGACAGAAAACAGAAGTAACAATGGAAAAGAAAAAACAGAACAACAGTGCTAATTAACATGAAACTCACCGGGCGGTGGCGAAATTATTGACAAGCTACTCAGAATCTTCAAAGGAAACGGAAACAACTTCAAAAACATCCTGCAGTTTGTTGTAGCTTGTATAGATTGATCATCCAAAAACATATTTCAAATAAAATAAGGAATAAAAAAAAATGTTAGACTAAAAAAATTTAAACATTTGAACCTCGTACAGAATTAGAGGCGGCAACATTTGTAGTCGGATATCCCTTGCTCCAAATATCGACGGCGTCCACGGAAAAGGAAGCACCAAATAGAGAAAGTTGTGGGCACTCAACGAAGCGGGCACGAGGATCGATTGAGGCGACGTCGAAACAGGTGCCGACACCGAACGGAGTGGCAGTGGCGGTGCGAGGTTGGCCGAGTTTTGAAGGAAGTTACTGAAACACCCCTGGGCAATCGCCGGAAAATAGGTTTAATCGAAATTAAATAAGAAATCAGAAAATGGGTGATGAAGAAAACATCGTATTCAATGAACCTCTCTGAGAATTAACAGATAGAGATGAGAGGATAAATATTTCTGCAGCAGTGGCAGGAGGAGGACAACGCACGTATGGAAGTGGGAGGAAATAGGGAACTGGCTAGGAAAAAGGGCTCCGTTGGAACTTGAACCGTAGAAAAGATATAGACGAGGAGGGCGGCGAGGCATACTACTGGAGGAAAAAAGCGGCGCCATGTGATAGGCACATCGGGCGAAGCGGCGGCGGACGCCCGGCGAAGCGGGTGGCGGAGGTCAACAGTTGTGGGCGCTGTGTGAGGCCGGGCACTGAAACGCCGTCGTTCTGCAGGTAGCAGAATAAAAGAAAACTAAACGCCGTCGTCTGGCAATAAGCGGAATAAAAAAAAAAAGCTGAAAGCAAGCAGGCGTGTCACGGTCCAGCTACTTGGAAATTAAATGAAAAAGAAAATAATAGGAGAAGTTGATTGGAGGAAGGAATTGAAACGGTGCAGTTTTGGAATTAAATGGGGCAAAAAAAAAGGAATAAGAAAAGGCATAAAAAGAAAATAGCAGATCCCTATATATATATACTTAATATATATATACTAGTAATCGATACCCGTGCGATGCACGGGAAATAAAAAAAAAAACAATTGTAACATATGGTAAAAGGAAAATTCGGAAAAAATCGTTGATTACATATCTAAAGTAGAACCAGTGTACTTAACTCGTGATATATCGCGATATAATACAGTTTCAATCAAAACAATATAACGCAAACGCAATATTCATATCTGAAAACCGGATTTGAGGCAAATCTCTTCGATTTTCTTGAATAATTCAAACCCTAGTGATGTGTCTCTTCACAAAACAATTCTTATATACCCTAACTAAAAAGGACATATCTCTTCAATTTCTTCAAGAAATCTCCCAATAACGCAACCATAATTCAAATTTTATAGATTTTTTGCAGTTAGAACTAACTCGTGATTTTGGCTGTGATTCGCGCAATCAGGGTTGGGTTTGTTTGATTTTGTGATGGGCTCATTCAACTTGATGTGGGTTTGCTGATTGTGGTGATTAGTTCGATTTTTATCTTAGTTGGGGTGTTTGTGCGATTTTCTGCATTGATTGGCATCGCTTGTGCAATTTTCAACATTGTTGAGGGTTGTTTGTGCGATGTTCAACACTGTTAGGGTGGTTTGTATGATTTTCAGCATTGTTGGGTGGTTTGACTTTAGATTATATATACATACACAAAAACACGATACAAAAAGATAAACAATATCAAACGTATGTGGAGAAAAACGATATGCGAAATATTTCCGATTTGATAGTTAACTTGGCCTTAATTGTGTGAAATACAGCTACAAAAAGAAAATAAATTTATTGCAATTAGTACCCTTCAGTTAGCTCGAATGCCAAAAAATACACTATATTATTTTATTGACAAAACCTCCATTATGATTTAAGTTGTTTTTAGCAATTAGTACCCCTGGTTAGGGGGTCGTGTGCTAAAAATATTGAATCATAGGGGTGTTTTTGCTAATAAAATAATGTGGAATAGTTTTTCAGCAATTTGAATACTCCATAAGCAAGTCCTAAACCTACACAGTAAAATTGAACATTCAGTGCTCTAATACTGCTACTTGTACCAACCAAGCAATTCATATTTTTATGCTTTTTTCAAACAGTTGCAGACTCGAGCAAACATGTAACAATCTTTCTTTCACCGCATTGTCAAGTAATCTAATTAACTATGACGACAACGTAAAACCCGTATACTAAATTCATCAGCTTCACATATTATATTACACATTAGAGTATGCTATGTATACCAACCACCATGGCACCATCATTCAACCAAATCTCTCACATACCAAACAATCTAATACCAATAAATTAGTATGCAAACACAGTTTCAGCAAGCAAATACATCTTCAGCACACGATTAGCACTGGAATCATCATATGCTTAGATGCTATAAAATTATAACCCATGGTCCGTTTATATATAAAGTACGGTCAATTAAATACATGTATGTATATGTAAATATACTCCATGTATGTATGTCTAGAAAATGAGCTGATATTTGTCCGTGGATAAATTCATAACAACACCATCCTTAAAAACCAAACTACTAACTAAAACTCCCAGCCCTTCAAATTAGATCCTCAATACCTCGTGAAATGAGTACAAATTAAATTATTTTCCCTAAGAAACTGTAAGGAGTTCAAATGGTAGCATGTTAAGAACATCTTTAAAACGTTAATAAACATCATATCAAATAATGATATCATAACTTCGAGTTTTATGTTAAACTGGATTATTGACCTCCATGCTTATGCTGTCATATAAATATGGCTTCAAATTAAAATAGTACCTTCTTTAAGATGGAAACTCCGGAGTAAAACAGAACCATGGCGAGCAAAAACCCGACAAAAGGAAACATCTGTTACAAAAACATAAGCATTGGTATCGTATCAAGTTTCAAATCAGGTATTTGCATGTTGTCAACAGAAGCCAAGGGCAAATTAGATTCATAGACATAACGTATTCAATCTATTAATTTACTTGAGAACTGAGGCATCCCACGTTTTGTGCGGAAAAAAATAATTCTCTTTTCCCAACCATAACAGAGGATAAAAAAATATCCATTTTTTTTTCAATCTCTTCTTCTCTTCCTTTTCTTTGTCTCTCTCACTCTATGCCTTTCTTAAGTTCTTTGAACAACTCACGAAACCCAAATTGAAATAAAGGTTGAATCTTTGTTTCTTGATTATGGATTCAATTTCATAGAAAATGAAAGAACCCAATGTACACATCTTATACCTCTTGAAGTTTTGGATTATCCAGGCTGAATGAATGGGGAATTGGGAATTGTTGAGAATCTGTGAGTAAGTGATTTTAAACGGAGATGAGAGATAATTGTGCTACCGAACCGAAGCTGCTCTCTGTTCTGGTTTTCTTTTCTTCGCGCAACCGATAAGGCCGGACTTCGATTCATGCCATATGCAGCTGAAGTAGCAAATGCTCGGAACAGATGATCGCTAGTTGCCTTTTCCATTAAATGAAAATTCACTGAGCGAGCGAAACGACAGTGACCATTTTGAAGTTGCAAAGAACTATTTTCTAAAAACAACATACAAAAGGTGGGAATTCAGAAAATAATGATAAGGAGGAACCATCACAAATGAAGTAATTTTTGAAAAAGAACGACAAAAAACGTACAGTCAGAGAAAAATGTGATGAGGTGCCGGTGATTTAAAAATAGTCGGAGAACTAATTATTTAGTAATCTCTTTTTTCCGGCACACCAAAAATTCCACAAAATTTGGCTTTTGCATCTCACCCAAAATCATACCGCAAAGCCACTGCCACAACATCTCATCCAATTTCTTCAAATTCAACCCGTAATCTCATGTGTAATGAGCCAATTCGCTTGGTTCATTCAAAATGGTCAATGGCGAAAAGATTCATACCTTCAATCAAGCGGAAACGTCAGTTTTGGCCAAACCTCTTCTATTTTTGATTGTTGGTAAAATCAAATTCGACATCTCAATAAAAAATCAAACCTATATACAAAGCACCAATCATGAAAAGGAATGAGAAGCTCATTGCCTACATTAAAAAAAAATGGAAGAAATGTCACAATAAAAGAAAATTGTAGAAAATTAAATGAGCGAGGGAATCTAAACATATTGTGGTAGAATCATCATATCCATTCATCTGGAATTCAGATTTCCCCATTAGCCATACTTGACATTGGAAAATTTCAAGTCCAAATTCATACAAAGACTGGAATCATTAGAAATAACAACAATATCACTAAGATGGATATTGTTTTCCCGTCAATTGAGATAAAAATCGAAACTGAAAAAAAAAAAAAAAAAAATTCATATAAATCATACGCCGTGCCGCTGCCGTCGATAGTCGGCGTGAATAAAACATGAAGAAAGAAGACTTTTCAACTGTTCAATTTCTCGACCACTGCAACACAAAACATAAACAAAACGATAATTAGATAAATAATCAAATAAATGTTTGGGCTTCTATCTCTATTAATATATTTCTTGCTTGTCAAATAAAAAATATAAATAAAAAAAAAAAAAAAAAAAAAAATTAAAAGCCTCCATAGCTACAAATCCAAACTCCAAATGGAGTCCCATGTAAGTCGCAAACAAAACACCCCCAACAATTATTATAAATGTTTACAGAGAAAAGGGAAGCAATGAGTTGAATCTCTTCATTTTCTCCATCTGTTTGTGAGCTAGAGAGATATTTGCTAGACAATTAATACGTGAAAGGAAGTTCAAAAGGAATTAAAAAAGAAAAATCAACTGGTGGCTGCTGCAGTTACTCACGCATATTCAGCTTTTTTTAAAGTGGACAGTTAATTGTTATTGGATAATAGTAAACATTTGAAAAAAATCAGATCGTGTAAATACTGCGCAGTTAATTAAATTATGAAATTATTACGTGTATAAAAGGGAAAAAAACTGTCAAAATAGAAAATGACTGAAATGCCCCTAAATTTAGGTCTAGGCTTATAGGTCAAAATATCTTCTTTTTATATATAAGATATATATATATATATATATATATATATATATATATATATATATATATATATATATATATAGACGTGCTATTTCCACCCTTAAAATATCTCATTTCACCACCAAATTAAATATATTTCCCATTTTACCCCTTCTTCTTCTTTTACCAATATTTTTTTACAAATTTATAAACAGTCTACCACTAAACTAATCAAAGTATTTATAAAAAAACCCCCATCATTTTCGTCAAAGAAAAACATTTCCGAAAGTCAAAAAGAACAGGAATTCACGTTCTTTGAGAAATAAATTAAGAGTGATTGTATGGAAGATTCTGAACTTCTTCCAGAATTGGCCAATTTGGCTTAATATAATTTTGTTTTGTAAAAGAAAAAAAAATTACATAATTTTTTTGTCATCTCATATGAAAGTTTAAATAAATTGTAATAAATATTTCGTGGCAAAAAAAATTACAAAAAATTTAAAAACAAATTTAAAAAAATTAAAAATTAAAAAATTAAAAAGTAAAAAAAAAAATAGAAATAACTTAGAACACATGAGGATTAAGTGAATATAAGAAAGGGTGGTGAATTATAAATTTGAGGGGTATTTATGACATTTTATAATCGTTGTTGGTGAAATGAGATATTTTGAAGGTGGAAATAGCACCACTCTATATATAATACCTTTTTCTTTAATTTTTTAGCCTACCCAATTACATTATTTTATCCACTTACTTTTACATCACTTAAGCCCACTTATTCATAGCCGCCTCATCACTTCTCAAAGCCCCTCATGTCATCTTTTATTTCCTAACTTCGCTCTCGTTCTTTGAA